CATTTTTTTTTAGTTCATACCATCGATAAGCGCACTCCGTAGGAATTATACGTTTCAAAAATATTTACCGAAATCGTTAGATGCCTACCTTAAGCTGATTTCGATCACATTACCACTACATGAAAATAGAGTTCTAATGATGACTTTTTTTGTCACTATATCTACAATTGTTGTCACTATTATTAGTTAGTGACAAATTATTTACTCGTCACTAATTGTCACTATAAGTCGTGTCATTAAAAGTTTTAGTGACCATAGTTTGTAATTATCACTAACCATAAGTCTTTACTGACATAAAATTTTTATCACTAGTAATCCATAATTTTGTCACTGACAACCTTTGTCACAAAATCTCATAGTCATGTATATATAGTTGTTGTCACCGTTACTTGACACTTGAGTGATGCACAAATATGTGACTACAACTTCATTTTCTAATCATAAAGCATTTATGTCACTATAATTTGAAGCTTTAGTGACAAACATAATTATCACTAAACTTCAAAGTTTAGTTACATGAAATTATTGTCACTAGAATGCAATAATATAGTGACGTAAAATTATTATTTAGTTACGAATAGTTTTTGTCACTTGAAAATATACTTTAGTCTTAAAATAATGATTGTGGCTAAATATTTCTAATTGTCATCACAAAAGATGATTATTATAAGCATTTTTTAATTAGTATCATAAAAAAATGCACAGTTGTTGTGACAATATTAATCGTCTATCTATTTATATCTTTTAATCAGCAGATTTTTTTCATTCTCTTACTTCATATATGTGGTATATATGTTCATATATTATATATAAAAAAAATCCAAACATAATAAATCGACAACTAAAAAGCAATATATGTAATTATCCCAATGCAAGAAAAAATAAGTTTCTAACATAAATAGAGTTTGGAGATTGGAATAAATTTTCAACACACAAATAAATATCGAATAATTGAAAACTAAGTAAAAGAACAGACATAAGCCAAACATGATCTTCGTACTTAAAGCAAACATAAGCCTGACATGATCTTCATTAGGAATGAACTTCTTCAAAATGAATGGTTTTCACACCTGCAATATTTCAACACAAAATTTCCAAATCTATTATTTAATTGCTTCATAATACTCATATGTCATAAATCCTAAGAAGTAACCAGGAGCAAATTTTCATATAAAAAAAAAAAAA